AGCTAAGAAGCACTCTGAGTTTCAGCTGTTTCTTCCAGATAAAGCTCAAGAGCTGCTGATGCTCACATTCAACTGGCTGGGGGAGTTCCAATGACCTACAAAGTCTACAATCTTGGTTCCAACAATCTGAGCTGAATAAAACCATTTCTGGATTTTGGTCAACTTCTGCAAAAGGTTTTTAGCTTGGGAAAATATGAAAATACCCCAACCATTCCTTTCAACTATTCTGGACCATTTGCTTTTAAATTTGGATTGTAATGAGGCAAAACTGCTACAGAAGATACACAGGAAATGATAATTACTGCAGTGAATGCAACATCTAAGGATACTGGTAGACATATTCTGCCTAAATAATAAATGGCTAAATTTTAAGCTAACTAACATCTACAATCTCTTCACAAACATTTCAAAGATTTATGGCACGTTCATTAGATACTCTGCGTAATGAAGCAAAAAGACCACCCCATATTCAGAATGCACATGGACAAGTATTTAAAAACTCCAGTTATCCAAGTCCAAAGCAAAATTAAAGAAGCTGAAGTAATTCAATTCGGTTCTATGTAGCAAGTTCAGAGAAAGGCTATTTATTGCTTATACTTCCAGTCTGTAAAATGCACTTCGTTCTTGCAAAGCCATTACACGAGGAAGATATTTAGACTATGACTGATCTGTAGCTGACCAACAAGACATGAACAGCTACTACAGTGCCAGGTACCCCTTCGCCTTCCAACCTCCCACTATGCTGCAGGGAACAGACAGCAAGTAACATTCACACTATGTTGTTTAATGAGTTCAGCAAACAGCATCTTATAAGTTTCAGAAAGCAGTGGCCCACCATACATGGGTGTCAGACGGGCTGGCTCTTGAGCAAGGCCTGAAGTTGCAGTAAATACACCCTTCAATGCAAAAAAACCTTCACTAAGAACATAAAACTAGGTAAAACAGTTATAACTGTAGAGTGGAGAGGTTCTGTTCCATTTCTTTTTAGAAGATTTATTCTTAATGCATGCAAAATCTAAGGAGAAAAAAAATACCTCAAAATACAGCAGTCCTTACATTTTCAGAGACATATAAGTTTAAGCCACGCCATTCTACTTCAGGTTTCAGTTCGCTCAACCAACACTGATAGCCTTTTGTAACTCACTTTCAAAGTAAGCCTTCATCAGATGGCAGTTCACTGATAACATTGATTAGGAGTAAGTTCAGATATTATGAGCCTTAGCACATGTGCATCCGAAACTTTCTACAGCTAATAGTAAAATACTTCATAAAGGGTGTAAGTTAACTGATTCAAAATGTGGACGTGAGGTTTTATGAAGGCTTTGTACATGATGGGTTCCCCTTCTTGAGGAGCTGGGAACACCACGATAAACAAATGAAGATGAAAGTGGAAGTAAAAAAGCAAGCTATGAGATATGCATCACCACCAGCATGTGGTACAGGACTACGTTTGATGATGTAGGCCACAGCAGGCTCTACTTCTAACCTTTTAATGCATGAGATTTTTTAATGCACAGTATTATATTTGCATACATGCATATATAACAATATATGACCTCTGGAGAGTGCAAGCCACCCTGCTGAAAAGCACACTGTCACTTCTGTGAAGGAATTCCCTTCCAGCAAACTTGAGGGACATTAAAACTCGCCTGTATTTTGCTAAAATCTCATTACTTTTAAAACTCAGCAAACAGAGATATGCAAATACTAACTAATCTAATTCCAGGGATTCCCATAAACCACTTTCAAAAAAGAAAAATATGCATATGAACAAATAAAGAGCTTTTAAAAAGCAGGCCAGTCCTTGGAGTCTGCAGTATGCAGGAAAAATTACCATGACTGGCACATGATGAGACGGGCTGAGCAGGGCTATCAGCAGTGCACAGTCACACAGGATGACACTATCTGAGCTAGGATGACAAATGACCGAGCAACATGAGCAGTTTACAAAGAGGAAAAAAATCATGTATTTTTTAGGTGGAAGGGATTAACCATTAACAAACTTCTCTTCAAGAGGCCTAGGAGCTCTCCATCCCGTCTGTATGTCAAGAGCAGCCTTTTGGACACTTGAATTGTGAGGCAGCAGCTTCGCTTCACATCATCCTACTTGTGATAAAACATCCCCTTTGTCCTTTCCCCACAGCTCCTTATGCCTTGTTGGCTAAAGAGCAGAGCTAGGAATGTTGAGTTTACTGCCAGAATCTTCTTGAAGCAACTTTTTTAAATGTGAAGCACTGAAGAATAACACAGCTCCCCCTTAGCAATAAATCATCAAAAAGAGACAGTAATCAAGAGAGGGTAACCTCTGAACTGTTTGTTACAATTTTCCACCTGCACTGTCTACTAAAAGAAAGGTCAAAGTCGGGTATTCTGTACAAAAAACCATCCCAGTGAGTACACAATATTGAGAGAGCCAGCTATGCATATGTGGAGTCTTAAGTCAGTTAATTAACTTCTTGTACATTTATAGGACCAAAAAAAAAATCAAACTACTCAAGCTCCAGTAGAGAGAAATCCACCATTATCATTCTCTGGAATAAATCACTTGTGAAATTCAAACTCTTTCAGCATTCCCTTCTCCTTCAGATATCACCTCACCAACAGTTGTGAAGTATTATAGGATGGAGAACATCTGACTACTGGCACAGAGATCAGACCTTGCTAAAACCTACTGCTAAGGACGTGGAATTTCTCCCAGCACTCTTCAAAAAACTGCTACTGAATTGGGAATGTAGTTGAACCATATGAGGAGCAATCTAAAGGCACGATCTTCAAGGCAAATTTGACAAATATTTATTTATAGAGTAACACTGGCAAACCCCAAACAGTCCCAATTCCACCAGTACCAACATTTCCAGTGTTCACTCTGAGCTGTCACCCTCCCTCTTTTCCTCTCTCTCTCTCTCTCTCTCTCTCTCTCTCTCTCTCTCTCTCTCTCACACACACACACACACACACACACAGCCTGAAGCAAGACTTTCAACAATGAAAAACACCCATCTCTTAACAACTTGGAAACAGCTCACAGGTGACTTAAAGGATTTACAAGTTGCTGTCCTACTCCAGCAGCTTGCCCCCACCCAAAACAAAACAAAAGTTTAACGAATTTTCCTCAACATGAGCCACGTTACCTCAGACATTGCATGCATCACCCCTTGGCTCCCAAAAGCCCCCTCCCAAAGCCATGGCTTGCTGGAGAAAATCTCCACGCTTCCAGAGGAAGGGCAGCAGATCCACAACAAAAGAGCCGTTCTAAGCACAGCATCTCTACGTGGCCTGTGTGTACTGACAGCTGGCGGCCAGCAGGCTCCTCAGCAACTGTTCATGTTGTGCCTCTATTCATACAAAGATAAGAGCAAAGTACAAAAATGAATCCAAAACTGTGTACTCCTGTCAATAGTTAAGGATGGCTTGTCCACTAAAAACATGGCATTTCACAAGCAACAGTCCTAGACACAACAATGAAACAAAACACATAAATACTACAAGAGGCAGCTTGTTAGACCAGGATACAACTCAAGGATTGAAATGCAGAATCACACAATGGTTTGGGGTAGAAGGGACCTTAAAGCTCACCCCATTCCAACCCACTGTCATGGGCAGGGTTTCCACTCAGCATCTCAGGCTGCCCAGAGCCCCATCCAACCTGGCCTTGGGATGGGGCACCCACAGCCCCGTGGGCAGCAGTGCCAGGGCCTCACCACTCCGTCAGTAAAAAATTTCACACCACAGTTTAAAGAGGAGAGATGGCAGACATGGTCCCTGATCCAACAAATGAAACAACCCATAAAGATTGTTATTTTGCCATAATTACTAAGACACAAAAAGTTACCATCTTGAAAGCACACTGCAGCAGGCACACGCGCACTTACTATTTTCCCCTCTGCCCTTCTTCCCACCAAGACAAAACCACATCAAGAACACAGCACAAACCCACACTGATCTGACTACAGGAGCCAGTGGTACCAAAGCAGAACCCCACGCCACCAGGCAGAGACACACACTGCTGTGCTGGACAGCCCTGCGCTGGAAGAATTCATCATTCATGGATCAACAATTGGTTCTTTCATCTCTCTGGCTTCCTCAGACTATTATGTACTCTTTCCATCTCCGATCTCCATTACACTCCCAGTTTTCAGCTGCATGTAGCAAATACATCTGAAAAACGTGCAGAAATTAAAAGAAATAATCTCAACCAGAAAGGGAATCCATCATCACTTGGCCGGTGCCAAGAACTGACTTAACACAAAACTGTGATAAAATCACAGCCACATAAGCTATGAGAAAAATGTGAAGGCAAAGTGAGGCACAGCAGGAGCTCCTTCTGGCTGAACACCAAGGCAGTCCATGGAAACGAACCCCTGACATCAATGACCTCTCACGAAGCAAAGTTTAAGGGCTACATACTTCAGCTAATCAAAAACTAAATCAAAGTATACATTAAGCTGCATCTTTAATATCAAGCTGAGCTCCGATAAGCCAAAAGAACAGCACGTTCCGTCATCCTTGAACCAATGGGAACGCGGTGCTTCTGAGCATCACCGCAGAGGAAAAGAGGGAGAAAGAAAGTCCCGCGGCTCCTCGCAGCGGTGCCCCACGGCGGGAGCACGGGCAGCGGGCAGGAGGCCGCGGGAGCAGCGCTCCGAGCAGGATCGTCCTTCCAGCCCCTACCCTGCGGCGCTCAGGCAGGTGACCGCCCGGCAGGTGACGTGAGCTGCCTGCCAGGAGCGCTGCTCTGGGCCCCGAGCCGGCTGCGAGACGTTGGAGTCAGCCGGGCCTCTACAGCGTGTAAAGATAACGAGCATAACGAATAAGGAGCATGAATAACGAGCACAAATACTGCCGTCTCACGACACCGGGGCAGGCAGGGAGAGCTGCGCCCCGCGGTGATGCGGAGGGGCCGCGCTGCCGCCCGTAGCGCCCGGGGAAGGAAGGGGCGCCCACCGCAGGGAGGGAGAGGCAAAGAGGGGGAGAGGGTGGGAGCTGCCGCCTGCCCTCACCGTCGATGTTCTCCCGGTCGCTGATGTGCTGCAGGTTGCAGCCGGTGTCCTCCCGGCTCAGGTCGGCCTCGGGGCGGTAGGACTCCAGCCGGGAGTGGGCATTCCGGCGCAGCTTGGGGCTGGACGAGACGCAGCAGGAGGTGGTGTTCCCCATCTTCTCGGCCCGGCCCGGCCCGGCCCGGCGGGGAGGAAGCGAGGGGCGGCCGCTCAGCGGGGCCGGCGGGCGGCCATGGGCAGCGGAGCGGACGAGGGGGAGAGGCGGCGGCGGCGGC